ATCTGTCCTGACTGGCACTGAGTTGCGGGGGCACAGTCCACAGATACAGATGCTGGCCGCTGGCTTTACGCTTCGCTGTTCACCCCTTACAGATGTTTCTCTGGACCACTGAGAAGTCTTCTGTCTCTTGAACCACAAATGATCTTGAATGAAGGTAGAAAAATGTACACAGGACTTTTTCTGTAGACAATGTGACATTCATGACCAAATGGAAATCTCACTTGTTTTGTGGAATAAGCTTTACCCGAGCTTTATGTTGCTTTGTGTCTCAGCAGGTCTATCTTGTCACACACACCCCAGCTGAAGGCCCAAAATATAAATATCAAATGTTAAATTAAAATGTGCACTTAGAATTCTGAACATTTTGAGGATTAATTTTTAATGAACCATTCAAATGAACAGCGGTTAAAGATTTCTGTAAGTTCTCCATTTCTATTATATACAATGAGGTAAAAATGGGCAATAATGATTTTAAAAAAGCATTAACTGTGTAACAACTTAAAGTCACGATTCATGGCCTCTGCTTGAATTATCTTTATATTTATCTATTTGTTTATTTTTTGTTTATTTATCTAGTTACTCATGTCTATTTTTATAGGCATCTTATATCGGTTGAAATTGGATCTCAGTATTTCGTTTTTCTCCTGCTCAGTCCCACTGATCAGCTTAAGATTTATTACCCTATTATAACCCTCAAAATCGCATTTTCTGCACGACTAATGTGGGAGATGAAAAGCAGAGGGAAAGCCCAGTGTTTCCATGTTCCTTCCCTTACTCGCAGAGTTGGTGTTTTCAGAGACAGTTTGACGTTCAGCTTGCACGGAGCCCTGAGGGTCTGAGAGAGGGAGATGGCCCGTGTGGGTTTTCTGGAAAACACCTTGGACATGTGAAGTGTCTGCGATCGTCTTGGATGCAGCTGCGTCGGCGCGGACTCGGAATGGGAAACAGATGTGGCCCTAACGTCGCTTTGGCCCCTGAAACGGCTCCGAGAGCAGAAAACACACGCGGAGCCCGAGGCCTCACACAGGTGCACCGCGATCCCCTCAACAACAGCCAGGCGAGCCCCGTGAGCAGAGGAAAGCTGCGGGAACGTTAGTTTGGTTTGTTTTTTTAAGAGGCAAAAGGGATGAAGAACTCCGTTGAATTAGTGCAGGAAAAAATAAACAGTTTTGGTGATCATTAGTTTGAGGTTATTTTAAAGATTGCTGGGAAAAAAATAAAATACGCCGAGTTGAAATAGTGAGGAAAATATCCAAATGTGTCAAACAGAAAAATATAATAAACTGCATTTTTCATTCAAAGCACATGCATCGGATTAAACCTGGACATCTTTTGGCCTCAGTGAGCGCATTTAATCAAATAATAAAGGATCTTTATTAGGACTATCATAAAATACATCATATGTTAAAACTGGGGTTTGGATTTGACCTAGACACCTCCATAAGTCATTAATTTAATCATTCATTAATTTTACGGACAGCTAGTCCGCCTGTTAAAGAGCAAAGTCTTTATTTTACACGCCTTTATAATAAATGCGTCCATTTGGCCATTTTAATGGCTCGGAAATTATAAATGAGCAATAAATTCATATTTTAGAAAAATCTGACGATGTAGTGGAGAGAGGATTTTTTTTAAATGTAAAAAATAATTAAATAAATCAGTTTCATCTCACATGTCAAACGTGTTCTGTTCGCCTTAAATAATACGGACTAGTAGGTGTGATATGTCAACCAGGTTTGAAAATAAGGACTTTTTTTTACCCTTTAACGTAGAACAAATTAAATAAAAAAGCAGAAGAGGCAGAAAACTGGGAGCAAACCCTGGGCTTGTGCGTAAACCTGGCAGGATAAAAGACAGAGACGCGGTGTGAGTGGTGGCTGGAGGGGTTGAGCTCCCCGGAGAGCTCAGCCTGCTGAGGAGCAGGCCTCATGTAGGCCGGTGCAGGGACGAGCAGCCACACATTTCTGCTACTCTGAAATCCCCTGTTGTATAAAGTAATAAAGTTATCGGTGTGGATTCTTTTTGTCAACCTTTATCTGCAGGTAATACGTGAAAACTACACACGAAAGGCTAAGCAGCTCCAGTTATCTGGTTATTATTTCACTGGTTGCTTTTCACTTTATGGTCCTAAATGATTGCCTGAAGGAAAACGGGGACCGAAGAATCACACAGTGTCTTTTTCTGAAGAGAAAATATTTCCCTCTTGATTTGAAAAATGGCGTCGTGTTTATGGGCTTTTTATCTTGATCTGTCTCGCCTAAAATCACCCCCCCCCCGCCAAACATGAACACTTTGGGCTATCGACTTGCCCTCGATAAAACGCTCCAGCACTGATCTGACCTGCTGGTCTCCGTTTGGCGCGACTCTCCCCAAACTCTGCGCTGAATCTCCTGTGTGTGTAGGCCTACATCTGTACACCCTGAACCGTGAAACACACCTGAGCGCGTGGAATCCCCTGGAGGCTACCGATACAGAGACGCACATAACCCCCTCCAGAGCACCATGGCACACCAGCCCTGTGCCCGGGCCTTCTGGCTCTGCTGCAGCGCGCCCGTATAGCGCCTTGGCAGCTTTTCCAGGCCGAGGAACGACCCCCAGCCCCCCCACCTCCTCCTCCTCCTATGGGAGCCTTTACTTTTTGCTCTGCAGGGCCTGTAAACCGGCCCGGCACACGACTGCACCGCCCGCGCTCTGCAGGCCGGCGGAGGTGGCTCAGATCTCACCGAGCCTTCCTAAAGAGCGTTGTTGACATCCTCTCCGCTGACCTCCATCACCTCCTCCTGTCTCGTCCTCATAATGAAAAATGATCGGTCGGAGAGCCTGGATTTTCCCTCCTGGCTCCGGAGAGCCGCATCGATCACGGAGACATTTGTTTGGGAGCAGCCACATCGTTTCTGGTCGTTATTAGGCAGCAGTCCGGCGCACAATGGGGTGTCATTTGTAGAGTTTGAAATTTCAGCCTGCAGCTGAACCGTGGTCCCGTGGAAGGTGGAGCAGTGGAGCCAATAACGCGTTGTTTACATTACGACTCGGCCTGGATTTTCTGTATTTCTTTGACTGGCTCTTTTAAATCTCATCCACTGTGTCCTAAAACTAAAAGTCAGCTCTCACTGCCGTCTGCTCACCGGCTGCTGAGCAGCACAATAACACACACACATACACACACACACACACACACACACACACACCTGCCCCCCCCTGCAAGCACCAAACACCTCACTAATGCAGCAGCTCTGTAAAAGCCTGCAGACTGCATGCTGGGAGAGGCTGGAGCGCCATAAAAATAGAGAAAAAGAAAAAAAAAACTAGGAAAAAGCTTTAAAACAGCCCCAGATGATCATCAGCATTAATATTATTATTTCAATCTGTTTTATAGTGTTACGAAAAACGAATTCAGTTCTCATAAGACCACACATTGGATTTTGTTTCTGATTTTCATTTTTTAAGATGTTCCTTTTTAAATCCCTAATCAGCTTAATTAAGAATGGTGTCTGGGTTGGAAGTGCACATGCGTCGTATTTTGATTCATTTTGCACCTAGAACTAAAATCCAGGCAGCGCGCAGGACAGCTTGATCCCGTAGTACCTGTTTCTTTTTTTTAAGCCGGGGCGAAAGAGTGGGGGGGCAAGGGGGGGGGGGGTTCCACGTGATCGAGGAAGTACAGAGATAAATAAACATTTGACAGCAGTGATATTTCAATCAGCCACAGCTACTGCAGTTTTTTTTTTTTAAATGTGGATGAATCAAAATGCAAAGCAGACGGTCGTCTATCCCTCAGTGAGATATCATATCCATCAGACCGTCCTAATCGTGCGTCAGCAGGGACCTTCAGGGTCTGGACCTGCAGCAAAATGTTCTCCAAAGACATCCAAAATAAATGCAGCTGCAGCCTCTTTTCCCCCCTTTCATCCAAACCCTCCCATCATTCATCCACAGAAGTCAGACGGAAGCCTGTTGAGTTGGTAATGACTGATTTGTTTTGCTGACAAGGCCTTTTAGTCAGTTCAAACCGCACTGCTGCCACACGTGAGTTTGTTTACCGCCGATATTTACGCGCAGGGACAGAAAACACACCGCGTCTAGGTGAACCCAGGCCAAAAAAAAAAAAAAGTCTCTGTCAGTTAGAACTCAGAGTAGACTTCTCCCGGCTGAAGTTAATTTCAAGGCCGCAGTTAAAAGAAATATTAATAAAATATTCCCTCTTGGAACAGATGAGCCACCAGGGGTTTCCATCACTTTGTTATAAGTCATTTATGCTTTTTACACCAAAAACTAAAAAGTCCAAGTGCTTGGGGTTTCATTATGGACGCATTTAGCGCCACTGCAGCCACGCTCACTGCACACGTTCTGTAGAATAGATCTCCTTTTTTCACTAAGTATAATTTTCAGGATATTCAGCCACATTTTACAACATCATATATATATATTTTTAAATGTCCTAATTTGGACTTGTGCGTTTTTCTTTGTCACAATTTACCTTTTAGTTTGTAAGCTCCTTGCCTGGAACATTATCACTGCTAATAAATCACTCAAATTAGAATCAAATAGACGGCACTTTATTAAACAAAACAAAATGTAATGCCTTCAAAATAGTTTTGAACAAATAACACAGAATGAATAAAATAGGTCAGTATACAAACTCTCCCCCTTCTGCCTCTATACAAGAACTTTGGGACAATTTAAGGCAGCGAGAAAATTGGAAAACGCTTGTTTGGTCCTCAATATCCAACCACTACCTTTTCTTTAAAAATAAATTACTATATTAGGCTATAATTTACTGTCTAGTCATAAAAGCTGGTATTTTAGCCACTTTATAAACAATTCTCAAAGTGAGAAGGAAGGAAACTTACGTGTTTTGGTGTTACACAGCTCTCGACAAAAAGAAAAATCTCTCTCAATCTCTTATGTCCATTCGGAGTGTGAAAGATAGACCAAAAGTACAAAAAAAAAATATAGGAAATATATATTAGAGTTATTCATTTCAAAGACACTGTGGGCTTTCAGAACTTGCTGCAGTCATAAACAAAGGCTCCGGACGCGCGGTAGATGGACTGGCCGGAGGGGAAGGCCATCTGACAGCTGTTATTCCCGTTGACCGGGGAGCCGTTGAGCCCGATCCGCTGGGACTCGAACATCTCCCGCACGGAGTGGAAGTTCTGCTGCTGCGCCGGATAGCCCGGGCTCAAGTGGCTCAGGTCCCCGTACCAGGACGCGAGCCGGCCCTGGTGCGAGTGGTGGCCGTCCTGGCCCGCCTGGCTCAGATTCCCGTGGCCGAGCGGGGACGCGGTGGTGGTGGTGATGCAGTAGTCTGGCAGGGCCTCCTCCACGGTGGTGGAGGGCGCCAGGTGGCCGCCGGACGCTCTGTCCCCGGCGTACAGGCTCATGGCTTGCATGTTGCAGTGGTAGGTGGCGTTGGAGCTGGTGGGGATGGCGTTCTGGTTGCAGGTCGTCGAGCTGTAGGCGGACGTCTGGTTGGGGGAGTAGTTGAGCGTGAGGGATGGGGTGATACCTGTCCGAGAGGAGGCTATGAGAGGCGGGGAGAGCTCGGCCTGCGGAGAGCCTCGCAACGAGGTCATGATGTTGTCCACGCTGAAGCCCTGCGCGGGGACCTGGCCGTGGTGGTGGTGCTCGGCCCCCTCCATGCTGAGGGACCGGTTGGACGGGACGCTGTGCGGACTGCCTGTGGACATGCTGCTGCTGCTGTCGGGGCTCTCGATCTTCGGCACGGCCCCCAGGGTCGGGGATGCGGCCTGAGGCGGCGTGGAGCTCCCGTTCTCAGTCTTAATATCCTGGATCCGGACCGGCTGAGAGCCCTGACCCGGCGCGTCCTGCTCCCGCCCCGCGGCGCGGGATGAGGGGTCCTTGCCCTGCCTGTCCCGCTCTTCCTTCTCCCTCTGCACGTCCTTCTTTTTGAACCTTCTCCGACGCCGTAGGAAGCTACCGTTCTCAAACATATTGTAGGAGTCCGGGTCCAAGGTCCAGTAGCTGCCCTTGCCGGGTTTCTTATCGTCTCGGGGCACTTTGACAAAGCACTCGTTCAGGGAGAGGTTGTGCCGTATGCTGTTCTGCCAGCCCTGCTTGTTGTCCCGGTAGAAGGGGAATCTCTCCATAATAAACTGATAAATCCCGTTCAGGGTGATCTTTTTCTCGGGCGAGTTCTGGATCGCCATGGTGATGAGGGCGATGTAGCTGTAGGGAGGCTTGACCATGTCCTTGGGCTGGTGCTGAGGAGTGTACGGTCCGTACGCGCGGGCCATGCTGGCCGGGTACTGGTCGTGGGCCGCGTGTGAGTACATGCTCATGGGCGCAGGCATTCCCGTATATCCCCCCCCGGCCCGGTAGTAGCTCTGGTCGCTGCTGATGTAGGGGACGACTCCCAGAGAGTTGGGGCTGGAGACGGAGTAGCGTGCCTGCATCATGCGCCGTGCGTAAAACGTCTCCAAACTCTTTCCCCACAGAAAAAATGTCACAGCTTCAAAGTCTGTTCCGTGGAGTTCTCTCCTCTCTTCGTTGCCGCTTGGAAGTCCCTTTTTAAGCCTCAGCTCGCCACAATGAACCGGAGAGAGCACGCGCTGCCGCAGTGGACATTTGGGAAACTATGAAAACTGGAGGCGCAGGAACCGACGCAGCGAGGAACTTTCTCTTTTTTCTTTCTTTCTTTTTTTTTTTTTTTACTCCTCACATTTTCCTCCCTTTTGGCTGTTCGAGCTGCTCCACCCCGAATCCGAATGTGTGCTCCATCATCCAATGGGACGACGAAATGAACCTGTGGAAAAGAGCAGCGCGATAAAAGTTACTACCCACCCCCCTTCCTCCTCCCACTCCCTCCTTCCCCATCTGTTAATTCAGACGTGGAGTTAACAAATAGCCTAGTTGTAAGGGTGTGTCCAAAATATGACATTTTGATATGACCTAAATCACGATGTGTTTGTCTAATATAAAAACAAAACATGTTTAATTATTATTATTTTTTAACAGAATAAGCTCAATTTGTTTCGTGGCCGCCAGGCTTAAAGAATCCGGCTCAACACTCATCCTATCTTTTTGAACTCCAAACTGCGCATAAACGAGCAGAGTCCACCAAAATAGTATAAAATAAGTATTTAAATTAAAAAAAGCCTTCAGGTATGCAGTGTATTTGCACTCTAAAGGTTGGAGATAGGATTGTACTAACGTGATTAAGCTTTCAATTAGAGCCAAGGTATCAGTGGGAATTTAAAGTGAGTTGGCGAGAGGCTGTGGAAGCTTCATCAGCTGCAGTTCAGCCTCTGAATAAAAAAGAATGACATGAAAGAGCGTGCATGGCTGCCTGCTCTCAGACAGCAGCGGTGGGCGGTGCGTGGAGCCTCATTAAAGGCTAAATGAAGATCATTTGGCTGAGCTGGGTGAGAAAATGCTCCTTGGGTGTGAGTCGTTGATGCTGAAAGTAAGGTAGGACTATTGAAATGAAGACCTCCAAACGCCCCCCAACACACACACACACACACATACACACACACACACACACACACACACACTCTGCCCGGGTGTTAAATGTGCCAGCAAATGCTCAAAGGTTGCTGGAAAGTCAAGCTTCTTCCTTCTGACAACAAACTCTGTAAAAAAAAATGGAGCTTCCTGAAAAAAAGACCCAGTTTTAAGAACTTCACAAACGCCTATCATCGTTATGGTTATACGTCAGCTGAAAAACATTATAGATAAATCTCTAACCTTTTATCCGTTTATCAACAAACTAAGAAAACTTGAAAATCTGACATTTATCTGTGCAAAAAAAACAAATAAGTTTTTCATTTTTTTAAGGAAATTAATTTGGAATCATTTAACAGCTACGGCTCATTCAAAGGTAAAAAAACAAACAATGTTTTTATGTGGTCTGCGGGAGACTTTTACGGAGAGCTTGAAGCCATTTTTAAACTATCAAAATAAACTTGAGTTGGAAATATGAGCTTTAATTCGTTTAATTGTTTGATTATTATTTAAAGCCAGAGATTACACGCACAAACGCTGAAATGCTAAAGTAGCTCTTCCAAGGGCAAACGATGATTCTAATTAAAAATAGGCTAAATAAAAAAATCTAAGACTTGTTTTGGTGCTATCCGGATAGCCCACAGTGCCAGGCAGATCGCCTCATTGATGTCGTTTTTTCATGGCGTGGAGTAGGCTATACATGTCTCTGTATCTTTCCCAAAAATACAGAGACTTTATCTTTTCTTGAATTAAAATTAATTAAGAATTGTAGTCTGAATAATTTCATATCGTCTCAACGCAACTAAAGAGGCTTTGGAAAACGTTCAGATTATAGGAAGAAAAGACAAATTCTCTTGAAAACACATGAATAAAATCTTTGCATTTTTCCCAGTTTCTTTCTCCTGAGAAGAGTTTGTGGGCAGTTTGCTGGTATCGTAAACACTCAATTCAATAAACAACTCTTTTAAGATGAATTCTGATTTTAAAAAATCTGAATATCTACTAAACTTAATTCACCAAAACATGACAGAATGAAAACAGAGGAGTTTTAAAGAAAAGTCACGTGTACATAAAGTTGTTATTTTCCCCTTCTCTTTGCTGTGCGTGTGATTTGCATGTCTGCGGGGCCTCGGCAGCTTCGGGGGGGACAAACGCTGTCACCTGTGGGGTCCCGCCGGGCGGCCGGCCCTCCAGATCGGCCCTGACAGAGCGGGCCCCCCTGCTGACCATCAGCTGCGCCTCACAGCGTGCGTCAGCGTGGGACGGGTCCACTCATCTGCCGCTATCTGCGGCGCAAACACCTCTGCGTCTGGCACAAACTGGCAGCACGTTACGATGCCAAAAAAAAAGTTTGCTTCAAATTGACGACTACTCCCGACCAGTCTCTGGTTTAAAATGGGCTTCTACTACTGGACGACGCCTGAATATTCCCAGTTAGACGAGGATAAAGCCCCCAGTGATTGCCTGTTTAATGCGACACTCTACTGCCCCCCAGTGGTCAGTGAACACCCCATGAAGGGTCAAGCCGAGCACAGTTGAAGTACAGCAGATTTTTTATTGATCTCAAATAAATAAAACAAGAAAATATTAAATGTATGTTTCGTGTATTTCATGCATACTTTTAGATATATTCTGCTCATGTATCTACACCCACAGAACAGTTAGGGGCAGTTTATTCATAATAGGGTAAAAAGGGATCGTTATATTGAATATAGGCGTTTAAAAAATCACACAAAACCGAAAAGAAATTACATACACTGACATACTGCCAATAAATTATTTTTTATATAAATCTAACATAAAACAGCCACAGATTAAGCCATTTGTGGCCTCATTGTAAGAATCCCAGACTCAGATGAGCTAATAGCACCCCCCTCTGCCCTTTTTGGGCCCGTGCACCATCAGCAGTGGAGAAAAATGGAGAAAGCTCTTTTTTTTCTTTTCTTTTTTCTTTAAATAAAGAAAATGCTGCAACAATAGTAAATCAGCTCTGGACATTGTAACTTTGTGTCTTCGGTGGGGATCCTCCATCAGTTTGAAGTGACTGCAAAGAATTTTTATCACCAATCCCCCAAGAGGGAGATGTCCAAAGAAAACAACACAGTCTTCAAAAGTATTTGTATTAAGTGTTTAATTAGACACAGAAGAATTTCCAAAGTTTCCCAGAACTTCAAAGCCATCCACCCACAAAGCACATTGGTACTGGTTTTCAAATAAATAGCTGCCAATCACCCATGTGCAACGCATTAATCTTCCATTTGGTGCGTTGACTGTGTCTAGCTGACGAGGGTTAAGCTGCTCTCAAGGCCGAAAAACACCTCACAGTGTGGCAGTTTCCCCCCTTTTTTTACCCCAAACTGGACATTTGACACCTCACAGCTGACTGAGAAATGCTGCTACGGATTCCCAAATATGGAGCAGGAGAAAAATTTCCCCAATTTAACGGAATGTGTTGTTTCTGACTTGGTCAGCATGGAAAATGTTCTCACATCATAAAAAAAAAAGATGTAATCTGTCTTGAGTTAAATACTCTTTCAAATGCCAAACAGAACTAATTTACAGGAAATGATGTCTTGTTTTGGAACAAAAACAGCAGGAATTCTGAACTGTTTTGACCAAAGTTTGGGTCTGAGGCTCATGTGTTTAAGTATTATCACAGACAGATTTATGTCAGAGTTTATCAGACAGTGTGTTGGCAGAAACCCAGAGTAAGGACCAATTATCTGCAGAAACAGACAACAGGAGGCTCATTCAAAAGAAGAATGCTAACTGATCTCTGCCTTTGTTTCCGACAGTGCTCTCTGGTGGTGACCTGTGGAGTGTGCGGCCTGAGGAGAGTCCAGAGGCTCCAGACACGGTGGTCAGGGTGGATTACCTGCTTAGCAGCTCCTTAAATCAGGAGCTTCGAGGCTGTGAGGAGGCCGGGTGTCTACCGGCCAGTTTCCCCTCACCGAGGATCTGAAGGTACAGTAGGAGGACCAGCTGAGCAGATAAGTCGTGGGTTTCTGATGATCAGCTCTCAGAGGACAGTTCTTAAGCCCCAGCGAGTCAGCAAATCGCTTTTATCCTTTAGGGCTGAAAAGGAGGATCGGCTCACTGAGCATGCCCAATGTTCCTCTCCTGTGTCAGTATTTAAAGAGATTTCTGTGTTTTTCAGGAGCTTTTAGGCCTGGACAGATCATTTCTGATCAGAGAGGCCGAGAGGGCCCCGTTAGGGCGCAGTGCGTTGGAAGATGGTCGAGTTGGTGGTTCCCCCCTTTTTCAGAGGAGCATCTGCTGAGCAGGCAGGCTGAAACAAACCCACCAAAGCTAGAAGTATAATTTTAAAAAATTCCCGAAAGTGGGAGCAGCAGAATCTTGTTGTGGACACACAGATGTGTTTTTAATCAATTTGCCATGTGAGATTTAGTTTTTATGGTACGTTAAAGAGTAGAATCAGCCCACTCCATTAGCCGGTGTTCAGAGCTTAGAAAACTCTGACAAAGACTGAAATCAGTGACAAGTCAATTAACCTTTATTCATCGGAAACAAAGAGATCATCTCACTGACATGTTTCTAAAACAGAGCCTGAACCTGAACCAAAACCTGCTGACTGGTAGATGCTGCTTTTATATTCCGTCTCACTCACCAATAATTCTCTGATGAAACTCCATCAGAGAATCATCAATAGATCATCTCCAATGGCCAGAAAGACAGTTTAAATCCAGAATATGCTGATCCTGGGAGTTTCTCTATGGGAGCAACTGTCATGGTGTACAACAATGCTCCACAGCCCTTTTTTGTGTCTTAAGGAGTGAGAGAAATGTAAACAAACTGACATCTGGTCTGGGTTTGTTGGTGGTGAATTCTGTCCTTTTCCTCCTGAGAGCAGTGACATGTGCTGAGTGGTTGGATCTCGGTTCTCCTCCCGGCCTGGGCGTCGGGAGCAGAAGAAGAAGGCGGAGGACCGGCTGAGCTGGGCTGACCGGCAGCATCTGTGTAGCTGGAGTTCTTTTCGAGCTGGGAGTCCTCCCCCGGTCAGCTGCTGGGACATGAAGCCCCCCCCCTGTTCTGACCTGTCAGGGACCTGGAGGCACCAAAAAACACGCCACTGCTGATGGTCCACTGATCGGGTGCATGTGACGCATTTTCTCATTAAACATCATTTAACTTTATATTGATGTCAGTGTGTCAGTATTTCTTTGTATTGAAGTATTCAGGAGGATAGAATGCTTGATGATTGTTGAAATGCGAGTCCTGATCTGAGACCTGGGGTCATGCTATAACTTTGAGGGGTCAAAAGAGCTTGTCAGTGAGGTCAGAAACAAAAGAAACTCAATAAAGGAGAGGTAAAGCAAAAACGGTGTGTTTCTGAACTGGACTATCTCCAAAATTAACACATGGCCCAATCAGTTGGGGTCACCTGGTCAACACACGTAGGTGGGTGCCCCAGAAACTTTATTGTTTTCTAAAAATTAAGCTATGTATTGAGCTATGTATTGCCCTTGTCGATCCCTAAGCAAGAATCACAGGATATTTTGAGATCCAGCTGTTGAACAACAGAAAACCTTATGGTGCTTTTAAACCTTATGGTTTGTGAAGAAAAAAAAATGGCCAACTTGGGCTAAACATATGGGGATACAGGTGATGATTTAAGAGCAGTTTTGGAGCTTGGCTCCATGTCCCAAGAGCCAGCTATCCGTGGTCTGTTAACAAAAGATGAAATGCTTGATGTTCACATCTGCAAGTGGAAAAACTTTCCTTTTAGTTTGACTCCAGTAACAGCTACCAGCCAGATTAGGATTTGTGAAGAAATCAGGAAGAGTGCCAAACCACAAGAGTACACCCATGCGGTCCTGCTGCCACCAGACTGCAGTGTCAAACAGGAGATCCTGGAGGACCGGATGGTCTGGGACTTTTCCAGAATACCCACATGACCAGCTCCTGTTCCGAATAAAGACCTACACTGAGTCTAAAGCCTTTGCTCTTCTCTGCTTTGTATTGTCTGCCCTTTTTCATTGTGATCACCAAAGATGTTCATCATGTTCAGAAGTGAAACTTGTATCAGCTTAACAGAGATCCAGATGTTTGTAGTCAAATGGTGCCACCTGGAGGATTTCTTGTTCCCACTTTTTCTTAAATGGAGGTTAACAGCTACAGACAGAAGTTCCTTCAAAACAATTTTTCCAAATATTTACTGTACTTCTTCACTTACATTATTTAAATGAACACCATGTGTGATGCACATTTTGTGGTTAAAGCCTCAATCTGATCATTTCTTTGGATTCAAGGTATGTTTGACAGGAGGTCAGAAGTGTGTGAATGCATGCATGTCACACACCTAGGCGTCATGCTGTTCCTGTCCTGTTTGAGAAGGCCACTAAAAACGTCCAACAATTTGCACTTGTTTAATTTGATTTCATTTGAACCACTACTGATGAGCATGTTACCCAGCGGCTAAAACAAAGACACGCTCAATTCCAATTACGTTTTAACCCGGGATTACTGACATATTAAATTATTTATTTACATGTTATCCAGATGATACAGTGCAGAACTCCTATTTTAGGTTTGCTTTCGGTTCGTTTTAATTAGCTTCCAGTTATTATTGAAAAATAGGTGTTGTGGTTGTAAATCAACAATTATTATACATAGCTGTCATTAAATATCATGTTTGATGACATTTTATTGGATAATATTTAGCATCCTCCAAATGGCCTTTTTAGAGTGCACAGACCCAATGTTAGGGCTCTTTTGTACATCGCTTATAGTATTTTTGTTGAGGCGTAATTGTGTGTTGTTTAGCGTGTCTCTAAGCCTATCCAGTGTTTCCACTACAGAATGAAATCTGCTTTAAAGCTGTGCTGCCTGAGAGTCCAAAGATCATTTTATTGCTGCTTTTCAGACTTGTGGCTCATGTAAAAAGAATGCTGTTGTGTCACTGGACAGCACATAGCTTCCTCTTTTTTAGCCTCTCCTCAGACCTTCTGTGATGACTTTTTCTTTAGGTATTCCAGCTTGTAAACAGATTGAAGGCCAGAGCACTCATGGTTGTTGGTGTGTTTATGTGGTGACCGTGTGATGGACTGGAGGCCAGTCCCCGAGGTATTCTACCTTTTGCCTCAAGACAAATGATGCAGGAAGAAAAATATGATAGACTGAATTTAGATAAATGTAAAATCTTAGCTTACATGGAGGTTGGTCTGATATCTTCTGATCTTATTAGATCCTGATGCAATAAAAAAAAAAACAGTGAATGCCAGGATGTTGTTTTCCCAGCATGAAGCTGCTTCGTATGGAGCTGAACACTGTCATTCATTTTATCATTGGTGGATTTAATGTTATAATTCAATTTTGTTTCAATATTGAGCTATGGTAAGTCCTGAAATAATGTAGTTACTGTCTCAATAATGACAGCGCACTACAGACACAAACCACAGACTTTGTTGGTAGTCTTTTTCCTTTACAGACTTTAAAAGGTGCTGCATTGCTCATTTATCGCAGCTTCACTTACATCATGTCCACATAAGTGGACATTTTTCAGTGTTTATTCAAGGTTTTTTTCAAGTATATTCTCATATTGTAATTCTGGGTTGACTTTTAGTGCTGCTGATGTTTTAGTGAATGTTCATTTTCTGCTGCTGCAGGACTCCTGTCTGTCCTGGCCACCACCACTAGATGGCCCCGCACTCCAGTTGATGGACAGCCCTGACCCTCCACAAGTCCAGCAGCTGTGTGCGACTCTCCCATCACCACTGAAGGCTCCTGGAAGGAAACAAGGCTTTAAAAGATGCCCTTCCTTCCATGGCTGCTGTTTTACCAAACCCACGTAACACCTATTTTTCAAAAAAAGTTCTAAAAGCACGAAGCTGATGAGGTCATGCTCTGGGTCTTATTTGTGAGCAGATGTTGAAGACAGGCCAGGTGATTTCCATTCCATTTCGTCACCAAACGCAGGAGAAAACTTGAAATGATTGTTTCTAGAGCACAATCTCAGTCAAACTGTGCTCTCTTTCCCAATACGTGGCAGAGGAATCCCAGTTTATAGGAAAAGTTTGAAAATCGTTGTTTATGAGGGCAAATAAACACTGAGGTAACAGGAAAAACATTTTCTCTGATGTTGTGAGACACTCGTGATGTCAGTCGACTAATAAGGACCTGCGTCCTCTAAACAATCTGCATACCTGCGACCCAAAAGCCATGTAGACACAACTACCAGAGTCTGCTTTCAGTTTGTGTGACGAGGCAGCTTTGTGTCAGTCTGATGTGTTTACAGCACGGCAGGACTAAAAATACCACGTTGTTGCATTGCCACAGACTCCGGGGTTCATTTGTTTACGTGGCGTCTGCAGATGCCACAAGGAAAGGAGCCGCTCAGGGCTGCAAATGCGACTCTGAGACGTGCTTCTTCTGAGAATGATCCTATTTTCATTGAAGTCACATCTGGATTTTAAAGAGAGAGAGAGAAAAAAGTGTACGTGATTCCTGTGTGATGGTCACCCTGCGTGGCTCTTTTTTCTCCTAAGCCCTCATCTATCAACACCCAAACGATCAAGCCTTGCCGGGCAGTTAACACACTTTTGATCTGCTCTGTTTTTCGGAGTTTTTCCATCTAATTATTCAAGTTCGCCTCCTTCCACTGAACCTTACGCTCCTTTTTTCATTCTGTATTTGTGTTACAGGCCCACTTTGGAAAGAGTGACTTTATATTCCAAATAGCTGACCAACTCATAAAAAATGTATTCTAGATTTAGCCTGAGGTACTTAAAAGGCTGTAAATTAAGTCAGCATCGGATCTGTACAGGAATGAAATGACGCTTAGATGGCAATGATGTGACGATAATCCAGTATTAGAAAATATATACCCACACATTGTGTTTTTCTGTGTGGATAAAATGTTAACCCAACTAAAAAAAAGAATTAATCATTCCATTTTTTTGGACTTTCACTAGACTTTTCATTATGTTTCCCAAGTGATGGAGTATTTTTCTACCACTGCAGAGCTATGCTGAATAAGTGAGGGATCTCAACCCAAAAAGAAAGTATTCAAATATTAAGGTATTCAAAATCAGGATTTGAATTACTCTGCAAATAGGACTAATATTTTGTTAGCCTTAAAGTGTCTTTCTGTTGAGATTAGGAAGGCAAATACCTGTATCTAACCAAAAATTGCTAAAACTGAAAGACCTTAGAGAATTACGCACATTTCAAATATTGGCAGTCTGTGTCGGAGGAGGCTCACACATCCTTTAATTAAATACAAGTTAGGATATGAAACAGCTATTATAAAGAAAATTCTGATATGAAGGATTAAAGGTAAAAGAATTTACTGCAGCATGTTTTAATTGAATTGTAAAAAGTCATACAGCAGGATTGATCTTGTCAGCATTTCTGATGGAGCTTTGATCTTTTACCCTGTTAAAGGACGCATTCTGTCTGAAGTGGGATACGTTTTACAGTCACTGGAGAGCACTTAGGTAGAGGTCAGCTTCAACCCTGAACAATCTCTCAGGGCCATTTTCATGTAAACTCAATATTCCTTATGTGTGAAGAGTCTAAATGAATTTAGCCTAAAATATATATCAGCTTTATTGATACCTTTTTACAGGGAAAAAAAGTTGGCAAAGGGTTATACAATAAGTGCAAGTTTTGCTGCAGTTCATGAAAGCCTAAAGCGTCGTGTGGGTAGTAACTCAAATAATATCAAACATAGTTACATGGAATATAAATTGTTTGCGCGTGTTATAAGAGCAAACACCTTAAAAATCGTGTTTCTGAAACTTCTTTTGAAGAAGAAAGCTTGTCAGAGTTGATAAAGGCAAAGTGGTTTTTACTAAAGGCCTCTTGGGTTTCTTCATTCATTTCCTCCAACCCCCTGTTTCCTCAAGTCCAAAAGTTAAGCTTTTAGCTGCATTTAAGATGCAAACGTGAAGGTGGACGCCACCGTACATCTTAGTAGAGATCCTTCAAAAATAGAAAATCAAACAATGTGCCCCGCTCAGTGGGACGGAGCCGCAGTTTGACTGCGACCGTCTGATGGGAAGTCCGCAGTGACACGAGAGCTCACATCACGCAGGGCTTGATGTCCTGACAGACGCTCTGGGGGTGATGGTGGTGGTGGTGGTGATAATAGGATCCGCCAGCCGAGGGGTGGAAGGAGGAGATGCCGTTAAAGTTCAACACAAAATCCTTCCGGTCGCACACCGAGGAATGGCTCTGATAGCGTGGAATCCCCACTGTGGAAAGAGAGACAACGGGGTGAACCCTGAGCATAAGATGGCAACTTTTATATTTATTATTGCTTAAAGCATCCTGAAATACTTTTACATTTTCTACGTGGAAGTTCCATTGTTGTTTTAGACGTGGTTGAAATAAACCAATAAAAGGGCTTACTTCTTTCATTACCACACAAATGAACCCACTGTGCTTTTAATGAGAATATTCAACAAATAACTTTTGGTAAAACTCAGGAAACAGCTTTAAAATATACTTTAAAAGTTGCTTAATGTAAAGTATTTGACAGTAAAACTGTAAAATTGTACTTCTAGGCAGGCATGAGGATTTTTATGGATGATATCATTTGTTTGTTTGAATTTCCGTTCTGTTTATTTCTTTTGAATGAAAATGAATGGATTAATAAGAATATGTTCCTTTCCTCCGGACGCACAAAGCAGTAGCACCTTTGCTAAATTGAATTAAAAAAATCCTTTCATCTCTTCGGTGTTTTTCTTCATCAATATTATCATTTTCATTTGTTGGTGAATTGCAGATAGCAGATTGCTGTCTGTGGTAAAATCCCCCCCTAAAAACGGAGACCTTATAGTAATAAATTCGGATCCGGTGAGTTATTTTGTGTCAGTAAGCGAACCCTCGTTCCTGAAAAAGGAACAGAAATGTGGAGGCTTCGTCAGGGTCATAAGGACTCCAGATGTGGCTGCGTTTCAGGGGAAGACAGCAGGCTTTATCCTCCGGCCCACAGCCCGCTGCCCTGTGCCCGTTTCCAGCCACACACGCCTCTTTGAGTGACAGTACTGTTAGAGAGCCCGTTGGGCTCCCTCCGGCACATTTTCCCCCAGTACAAGCTCAATTAGGACGCTGCGTAAAGTTTAACAAGGCCTTCCGTCTCTCGTGGATTCGCCGCGGCTGAAACCCACCGCCGGTGTGGTCCAACCTGCACAGCCTTTGTTTGGTTAACCTCTGGGACCTTTCAGGGCTCCAGCATGGGTTCCACGCCTCCGTGAAATCCCCAGACTTTAGTAAAGCCTCACCGTGCTCTGTCAGAGTAAATGATGGTGAACTGGGGGGGTGAATTAAGACAAAAGTCTGTTTTTCTTTATTTGTTAATTAGGCAAAATGTCTCGCGATACAGATGTGACGGGGAAAGACTGCAAACAGTTGGGGATTTAGTTTTCACAACACGTTTCATTTTCTTAGTTTGTTAGACTATAATTATTTAGACTCTCCTTTTTATTCGTTAAACTTTGTTTTGCATGTTTCCATGTAAGGATTAGTAAATAATTAAAACCAAAACTTCGAATCCATTGTTATTTCATAAACTTAAAAAAAACAAGGCTCCTTTACAATAAGAATTCTAGATTCTGAGATTACAAAATATCTACGTAAAAATTAGAAGAAGACAAACCAATAATAAAACGTAATTAATTCATTAATCTTTTTTTTGGTGCAGTAACCTTTTCATTTAGTTATGTCACTACTTACCATTAAAATAAACTTAGTAGACAAGATGATGTGTTTTTTTTGTTTGCTTTGTTTTTTTTGTTTTGTTTTGATTTGGTTAATTTCCTTATTAAAATTCCACTTTTGAAAATGTGAAACAGTCCTGCAGTTTTCTTTTTTGTTCTATTTTTTTGGCTGCTGATTTGGGAAAGTAAAGTTTAAAATTCACGAGCTGTGAGGAGTTTTTATTGCTATTATGACTTCCTGTCCATTTCAAAGCTATGTGAGCGGTTTTGGTACGGACCGTGGGCTGGTTTGTGGTACCTGATATGTCGGTGGAGTGGCTGTCCCTGCCGTTCTGATGGAGGTAACTCTGCTCCAGGGAATAAGGCGACATGCCGGAGTGTAAACCGGAGGATGCTGGGCTGCTGGAGGTGAGAGGCTGCTGTTTGATGTAGTGGGACCCGCCGGAGGACGCCCAGTGTGCGGACGTACTGGCGTACGGGGAGTGGCCGTCCAGCGCGCTGGCCATGGCCGGGGAGGACGGGACGGGGCTGCTGCTGCTGTCCGGCCCGTACTCCCCGTTGGCGGGCACCGGACAGCTGGCCATGTAGGTGGAGCCGGGGCTGGGGGACATGTGGGGGACGTGGTGGCCGCCGCTCAGGCCGTCGTAGCCCCCCGCCATGGAGTTGCTCATCATGTCCAGGTTGTAGCTGTTGCTGTGGCAGGCCAGGGTGGCGGACGGAGCCTGGAAATCAAAGCTCTGCGGGAGGATGGAAGTCCCGAACCCTATGCCGTTCATCATTCGATACATGGGCTTTAAAGCTTGACATTTTCTTCTGAAGCCTCTGGGTCTGCGGCGAAAGGAGCCCTCCTCGAACATGAATTCACTCCCCGGATCGATGGTCCAGTAGTGGCCTTTCCCCGGCCTGCCCAGTCCTTTGGGCAGCTTGATGAAACACTCGTTCAGCGAGAGATTATGCCGAACGGAATTCTTCCAGCCCTGATACGAGCCCCTGAAGAAAGGGAAGCGAGCCTGGAGGAACTGGTAGATCTCGCTGAGTGTCAGGCGTTTGGTGGGTGAGCTCTGTATTGCCATCACGATGAGAGCGATGTAGGAGTAGGGAGGCTTTTCCGGTCGTCTTAATCCTGAGCTCGTCTTCTTCCCTTTGACGGCCGCGGACGAACTTTCTGTGGCGGCTTGTGGGCTCAGCATGGTGGGATGCAGGACGCCGGACGCCGGGCTGGATCTCAGAGGAGGCGGAGGGTCCAGCTGCTGCTGAGGGGTCTCGGTCGTCATGTCAGCTCTGACGTACAGTTGGCGTGGGGAGAAGAGAGGGAGGGAAAAAAGACGAGCCGCGAGTCGTTTCAAAGGAGAAATATGTCGAGCTCCAGTGGTCAGTGTCGTTGCAAGTGAGCGTTACACCACCAGTGGTCCCCAGAATCCTAGCGCAAAATGGAGTGAAATCTGTCTCCAGTTACGCACGACTCTGCAGTTACGCACGGTGCTGCTTTGACGCATGCAGAACGGCAAGTACGCACTGACAGAGAGAGGAAGAGGAAGAGAGAGTGGGGGGAGTTGGTTATCCACTGGAGACTAAGTGTCCGGGGTTGCAGCTCAGCACAAGGGCTCTACTGGGTGTCACGCCGGCGCTAAGTGGCGCTGTGTGACGCGCAGGGTGGCCATCGACCGCTTTAATAATCCTTCAAGTGGAGGAAACACGAAAACCCTGCGACTTATTGTGCGCAAGAGTGCAGACAAACAAAGCCCGACCACCTATCATTTCATAAATCTTTCTTCCCTGTCCGAGAGCCCCCCCACCCTTTCTCCTCATCTGCACTCTCTGCCTGTAAATCTCCTTCAAATCAGTGGCGAATAGAAGCGCCTCCCTCCCACCCTCATGCCAAATCTGGCCCGAGTTCACTTACCGTTCTAAGCAACGTTAGAGCCCTACTCTCCGCTTCTCGTCGTCTTCCCTCCCACCTCTCCGTTCCAAGCTCGGACTACACGCAATTAAGCCATCTATCAAGCCTCCCCCAGACATCCCAATCAACAGCGCCACACGCCAGCCCCTCAAGTTAAAAAACGAGCCATTTGCCCCCGGTCGCCTTTATATGAAACAGTGATCTCAACCCGATGTGCCACAGAACGTAAACTGTCCTGACGTGAATAAACCGCCACAATATGTGCGAAAGGTCCAACTTGCATCTGAGACCATGCAGCTCAAAACCTTCACAAAGGTCTACATTCTAATCTCTCTGTGTAATACCCAAACACATCACCGGGAAGCAATAAAAACGCACAGTCTTGTATTATTTGTATTATTTTGCTCATAATTTCCTCCCAAAATGGTCCAGAGGATAACAAAAACAAACTGTCGCGGTGCCGAGCTGGGGAAGGAGTGTGAGAGATGGAGAGGTGGTGGTCTTTACCGTGCGTGTGTAAGCGGGGGGTTGCTCTGAGTAAATGACTTTGACATGAGTGGAAGCAGGCTTTTTCCATCAAGCCCGGCCCTGGATACCACACACAGCGCGCTAGTGTCAGTTTACCGCCCCGGGCCAGATCGGGTCCCATGGGCCCCACGTTCATTAGAGAGAGAAAAGCGAAATTAGGCGAGCGAGCGTCGACAGTTTCCTCCCCTGTGGAGACATCACACACACATTTGTCCAACATGATGGAGTTATATATCCCATAAAGGTAATATCAACATCCGTGCAGCGACGAAGTAGGGATTATTGGTCTTTCACTAGCAAAAAAAAAAAAAGCATGTCATTGTTAGGAGGTCACTAAACTCAAACTAAATCTAAAATGTTAATTATGTAGGAAAATTCCATTGCTGATTGTATTTTGCACCTAACGTTTAACAGGCCAGTGCAGATCTGACAGATTCGAAATAGGCCATATCACAGAGAGATTATATTACAGATCCACGTTTGTAAATTTTGTTTAACACTTTCAAAAGTTTGTGTGTGTGATTAATTTCCGATATGGGGCTTTTAAAGTTTAGATAAGGCCAAGAGGATTTTCCAAACAAAAACCATGTCCACCCCACCTTTGCACTTCGCACAACAAAGGCTGCACGGATAAAATCATTTTCCACCATGGAGCACACGTACTACAAACACACACACACACACATACACAGACACACACACACACACACACACACACACACACACACACACACACACACACACAGACACACACACACACAGAGGACCTAAAAGGCCTCAGAAATTTCCTGCGACATCAAAACTTATGACCCCTGCTGAGATCAGGATGCCTCGGCTTGCAGAGGGAAACTTTGTTCTGGGAGCGCTTTGAAGACGCTGATCCGGCTGCCCTTACGCACCGAGGTTGTAGGAGATTCTAATTTAGTCTTAAGGAAATATTCAGGGGAACTGCGGCCATAGCGACAACTTCTCAGACGTGTTTTGATGGAGTTTTGTCTTTGTAACCAATTCCCTCCTGGAGGCCCAAACGAGCTCTGCCCACACAAACAGGACCTCTGTTTGTTTTCATGTAGAGGCGAAGATATGTTGTTTAGCCCTCTGAAAATGTGAGGTGGATTTAGAGAGAATGTTCTGTTCGTGTAAATTATAGAGTCTCTTTCAAATTAATCGATCGATTTATTGTCGCTGCATTTTATATGAGAAAATGTATCGGAGCCCATTTAGATTTAAATTAAAATGAGCGCTTATTTGTTTATCTCAAAAATCTATCCCCGGAATAATAAAACAACTTCATCACAGTATGAGTGTTACCAGAAATTCCCTTAAATGGCAAGCGCTTTTCAACCATGTTTAAAATTAAATTAAACTGCCTAATATCATGTTTGGACACTAACAATGGTAATCCAGTATTTTATTTGTTGCTGGTCTTTTGTCTTGACTGCTCCGCCCGGGTTTCCTGTGGCGGTGCCGGGAGCTTTGGATCTGCCTCTGCGGGACTCTGGGAGGTCAGGCGCGGTTCACTTTGTCGGAGTGACAGACTGTTTGGACTTCCTAACATTGTGCCTGCCTTTACGTGTGGATTCATTACACTGAGGGACTCGTTTGTGGCCTTAACGGGCCTCAGTTCTTTCTCAGGCCGCGCGACTTACCCACACAGACGCAGGCCGAATGCAAAACCGAAGCATGCGCATTGTGACAAACCAGATGTCAACAACAGTCAGCGACGCTGAGACAATTGGAGCCACGTGACTGCCTTCGTACAGGTGTGCTGTTCCGGCGTTTCACCTGCAGGTTGCAGCATTGTCCCTGGAAACAGGAGCGAGTCTCACCTGTCACCTGTCACCTTTACGCATCCACCGAGTCCGCACGGAGAAGACCAGCCTCAGCAGAAGAACAGGGGATCCATTCGTACAGTTATTTAATCATCAACAGGACATATTTATTTACTCTGATACTCAGGATACGGGACAAAATCCTTTATTATGTTACGTTTTTCTGTTTTTCTTTACAAGTAAATGAACCTCTTTCAGACGTATACCAAACCTTTAATATCAAAATAATTCTGCTCTCATTAATTATTCAACTAATGGGGAAGTGGAATGTTTCTGTTAAAATTGTGCAATGTTCTTCAGCACTCCATTGGCATTTTCATTTTGTGAAACAAATAATTTTTTATAATGAAATCTATAAAAACATGAGTTAAATAATAATAAATATATATACAAATGTAAAAATAGATTACATGTTTATATATTTTGTAAAGGACAATTTTTTTGTTTAATGTTAAACTCAACAATCAAATCAAACAGAACTACAGAGATATATTTAAATATAAAGCATGAGGACAGACTGTCACGGAGAGCTCATCATCTTAAGTCCATCTGCGCATCTGGACCCCAAAGCTGTTTCTGAAAGTTACGCGGAATTTACAGGATTGTTGCCTGAAAGCCTGTAGTTTAACTCTTCTTTGACAGAACTACTGGCCTGGGGTCCGTTTCAGGACCGTGGAGAGCAACTAAAGTTTTCTCCGGACATGACCGGAAACACAGTGCAGGAGTGTCTGAGGATGACACCATGTGTGCTTTACACTTTCAAGAGCTGGCCTCTACAACTAACTAAATCTGAAATGGATCTTCTGCTAAAACAATAACGTTTTCCTGTAAAAATATGCGAGGAGGTGAAAACCTTTAGGCCTATTAAAAATCTGTTAATCCACGTATCGGATTTGTTTATAGTCTTTATATTGTATTAGCAGTATGATAACAAAATAATTCGAATCCAATTTATCTGATTTTAGCAGATTTAAATTTACAAGTTACAAGCTACAATTATGTGTGATGATTAAGATAACTGAGCCTACATATTTTAATAATATTATGTGTTTTTATGGATCGAAAATCATAAGCAGCTTTACTTGATAGACTGAAACTCTGTCTGTATTAGATTTGAACGTGTGTTCGGGTTCTGTGTCAGTAAACGTTTTATTCTTTTAAATGTCCCGATGGGCTTGATGATGCAGACACTGATTTTTTAAAAGAAGCAACTCCTGGTAAAAAAAAACACTCAACTACCCCATCAAAATCCTACTTTGAATACAACATTTTGAGGTTAATCTTTTGAAAGAAAACCTATAATGAATTAGACTCTGTCACTTTTTTGTCATTACAATTTGGAAGGATATTTTCTTCAGAGATGACTAAGGCCTAAGAGAGTGTTCATTGCAGAACAGGTGTAAGAGCTCCTCCCCTTCCACCACAGCACCTGCTTCACGAATAAGACATTGAACGATGTAGTCCCATTGTTTCACTTTTTTATTAATAAAATACCAACATGCATCAATCGATCAATAGGGAAACAGGGCATTTTCCATGCGTTGGTAGTGCAGCCACACGACTCACAACGCAGCTCAGGAAATATTTTCATTTATTTACACAACAGTATTCATACAGCAGGTCATATAAAACAGTGAAATATAAATAGAATGATAGTTTAAACATGACGCTTGCGCACCATCATACAGTAGAAATGACCAATGAACCATGGATACATGAATACAAACAATCTTTCTAAATATATTTAGCGCAGCACACACACACACTCACACACACATACACACGCACACACACACACTAACGTACACAAAGGAATGTCCTAATGTTTTGGTTAGTCACCACGCGTTCGAATCTATTTTGACAACACGCCATGTTTGCTTTTTCACCGCAAAATGACTTGACAGTAGCTTGGTCATGATGAGACCGTCTGAGTCTCACGCAGTTCAACAGTTTCAGCACTGAGAGTTAAAAGCGCCCACAAAAGTGCACAACAACGTTCAAAACACACACGAGTCTGACAGCAGTCCGGGTGTTTCACGACAGCAGGGAGTCTATGTGAAAACCCCTGGCTTTGGAGGGCGTCTTGAAGGCGGACTCCAGGGGCCCCAGGCCGGGTGCGGTGTGCTGGAGGTAGGTGGGGGCGTCCCTGGCCGGCTCCGTGCTGCTGTAGGCCGCCTCTGACAGGTAACTGCAGGGCTGCACCGGAAAGTTCACACCGTAGGGCAGCAGGTGGGCCCCCGTGGACCAGTACAGCCGGGGGCCCGCGCCCTCTGCGTCGGGGGGGCTGTCGTCTCTCCTCTTGAACGGAGTGCTGAGGATGCTGTCAATGGCGAAGGAGCTGGAGAACTTGACCCCCACCCTCTCCTCCTGCGCGTGGAGGCGGGTGTCCTCACAGAGGATGTCCGGGCTCTCCTGCTCCTTGGGGGTCCTCTTGGCGATGCGCTTCCTCCTGCGGCGGAACACCCCGTCGGCAAAGGTGTACTCGCTGTGCGGGTTGAGCATCCAGTAGTTGTCCTTGCCCCAGGGCCTGGACGGGTCCCGGAGCACTTTGAGGAAACAGTCGTTGAGCGACAGGTTGTGGCGCACAGAGTTCCTCCAGCCGGTGTAGCTGCCACGGAAGAAGGGGAACTTCTTCATCAGGTAGTCGTTGATCTCTGCCAGCGTCAGGCGGCCGCTGCCGGACTCCCGGATGGCCATGGCGATGAGGGCGATGTAGGAGTACGGGGGCTTGGGTCTGCGGGTGTAGGGTTTCCCTTTGCTGCCGTCGCCGCTTAGCGCAACAGGTGCCGGGCTGTTGGCCACGCAGTCCCCGTCTGAGCCCAGCTCGTCTCCGGACAGAGGGGACGGCACCTCTCCGTCCGCGTCCATGCACAGCTCCAGCGGCTTCTGCGCGAAGTGGTGCGCCGAGAAAACCTCAAGTTTCATTTCGCCCAAAAATGAGGGAGCGAGACTCTCAGCGACCTTGCGAAAAGTGTTTACTTTTGTTAGAGTCTGTTGTCAGCTGAGCAGCAGAGCAGGTGCTAGTGTCCTGACAGCGGAGAGAGGTCGGTTTGTTTATGTCTTGCAAGAACGCGTCTCAAGCGCTGGAGGCACCCTAAGGCTGGGTGCGGAGCTGCAAAGTACAGATCTGTCTCCGGAGACTCGGTTGTCTTGCTATAATATAGCCTAATGCGTCGGAAAGGGACGGCCCACAGGCGGGGTTTCGAGCCCGAATCCATTCAAACGATATGGTTATGTAGTATATTTGGATGCTGTTATGTCACGCAAGGGAGGGGAAGAAAAACAAAGGGAAGATATGTGAGACGAGACTGGGCAGGTATGAAAAATATAATTGTCTATCTATCTATCTATCTATCTATCTATCTATCTATCTATCTATCT